GTCATTCTAACACAGGGGTGTCAGACTTGTGTCGTTATGGGGGCGTCATGTGATGTATTGGGACTTCCCCCTCCCCCTTCGCTAAACAGGCAGGAGGTGGTGGAGCCAGCACATATGACGCATCCGCCCTGTGGGCCGAAACTTTGACGCCCCTGTTCTAACACATCTGGAATATGAAAGCAATTGCCAAGCAGGAGAGACGTAGCGATGTGCTTCACAACTGAAGTCATAAAACACATGGCAATTTGACCATTGATTGTGTTCTAAAAACATACAACTATGATCTAATATTGTCCAACTGCTTTGCTACCTGAAGGGGGAGAGTTCTTACTATTACTTTATCAGACGGCTTTAAAAAGGTATCAGATTCTGTCCAAATACTGTGGAAACTCTGACCCTGGCGGAGGGTCCCCCGAGAGAGACAATAGGAGGGTGGGGCTCATGGGACAGAGTTCGCCCAGGACAAAGCGGTGGCCGGTTTTAGTACAGGCAGTTTCAACTTATGACCACATCTGAGCCCACAATTTTTGTGGTGAAGTGAAACATTTGTTAAGTGAGTTCTGCCCCATTTTACGACTTTTCTTGCCAGTATAGTTAGGTGAATCACTGCAGTTGGAAAATTAATAACCCGGTTGTTAAGTGAATCTGGCTTCCGAATTGACTTCGCTTCTCAGGCTGCAAGAGCGGATCGCATGACTTTGGGACACTGCAACCGTCACAAATACGAGCCAGTGGCCAAGCATTGGGATTTTGATTGCAGGGTCCCTGGGGGGATGCTGCAAAGGTTGTAACTATGGAAAACAGAAGCCCCGGTTTCTCAGGGCTGTTGTAACTCGACTGCCCTTATTTCAAAATCAGGCTGGTGCCAAAACAGGCCAGGTAAGGAAGGAGAGAAGAACCGCAGCAGAGACTCCAGGGTGATGGTTGCCAATTAAAAAGGGCCTAGGGAAGGACGTGGGTTGCTTTCTGAGCTGCCAGAGACTTTGGCTTTCTGCAGATTTCCCTATTTTAAACCTGCGCCTAAAATAAAGCGGAGCGCGGGAAGAGGAGGAGGAGGAGGAGGAGGAGGAGGAGGCGGCACTGGGGAGGGGGGT